TCGTGAATCGAATCGTGAGTTGAGTGAATCGTTACATCCCTAACTAGAGTAGAATAAATTACTGAAATATACACTACGTTTCAAAAGTTTTGGGTCAGTAAGTTTTTCAAACTATTTTGTAGTCTCTTCTGCTCACCCAGGCTAAATTTATTTAATAAAAAATATGGCAAAAACTGTAACCCTGTGAAATATTACAATTTAAAATAAAAAAACACACAAACTCAGTTTTCAGTGTCACATGTCCCTTCAGAAATAATTCTATGTTGATATGGTAAGAAACATATTATTATCAAGATACTTTGATGAATAGAAAATTCAATAGAACAGCATTTATTTGAAATAGAAATCTTCTAACATTGTAAATGTCTCTGCTGCCACTTTTGATCAATTTAATGGGCTCTTGCTGAAAAACAATAATTTCTTTAAAAAACAATTAAACTGATCCCAAACTTTTGAATGGTAGTGTGATTCTATAAAATCAAAATTAAAGTCAAATTAAAGGCAGTACAATAAATATTGCCATGATGTATAAATCCTTTACTGTAAATAATCATTCATCATGAAGTGTAATTATAAAAATGTATTTTGTCAACAAATTTTAATTACTTTTTGAGGGGTAAAATATGACTTTTGTATAGCTTTCATGAGATTGACCTGAGAAGTAAATCTCTCTCTTTCTCAAATTTTTTATAAGAAAGATTAGGCCCCTGAAATTATAGTATTTTGCAAAGTTGTTTGCTGTTCCTTTTCATTGCGAATATACATTTTCAATTTTCTCCCGGCGCTGTGACAGTGATCTCACACGGCTTTGTTTGTGTCGCCATATGGTTCTGGCTGTGGATATACTCTCTTTTACGAGAACCTGATTGCTCTCACCTTGTCAAGCACACTTTTTATTATTAGACGCAGCAGACACATGAGAGGTAAAATCCTTTGTTTGTTTGTCTGGCTCAATTTCATGCCCCGCTTGGCACATAATATTTCAAACTGCGATTCTGTTGCTCTTGGTTGCATTAACATATAGATGGAAATGGGAAGTCTGCTAAATATATCTGCCTCAGTCGGCACAAAAGTGCAATGAGTCGTAGACATTCCCATGTGGTTTGTAATAAAATAAATGTTGTACAACGGTTGCAGTATCCAAAGGTTATGAGAGATACTTAATGCGTTAATGTTGCCATAAAATGATTTTCATTTAAGCTAAAACAGTACCAGCGTAGTCTTCCAATTTTCAGATTTATTGACTGATTTCTTGTAATTTTTTTATCTCACAGCCGATGCCGATGAGGACTTCCCTGAGCAGCATTTGCTGGACGTACAGAAATTCTGCAGTAAACACCTGCTATCCTCCCTTGTTTTACTAAAACCATAGGAAAGGTGAGTACTTCTGGCTTTCTTTGCTCCTCAGAAAAGAGCTTTCACTGGCTTCCAATCCGTTAATTAGCTGCTGAAC